GAAATGACACCTCAAAAAAAAAATATAAGATTTTTGCTTGTAAAAATAACAATCATATCGCTATCACTTACAAGACAGTAATAAAACAATAAAAAAAAATGGATCAGAAAATAGTGAAAAAACAAGGAAAGGAAAATTTTAAAAATAAAAAGAAAATAAAAAATGACAATAAATAACATTTAGCCCAGGCTGCAAGCCTAGCAGTCCGTTAGCTTATTAACCTTTAAAAGGTTAAAAGAAAATATCAGGAGAAGAAGGAAATAATGAAAAGAAGAAATGGGTATCAAGATAGGTAAGGGATATAAAAAAATATTTGTTATAGGTAAGAAATGTTTCGGTCCGGTGCGATCATGCGTTGCTGTACGATCCGGCTTCTGGCTAAATTTTCAATTTTTTTCTAAAACGTCCTTGAAAGTGATGGATAGAGGATAAAAAATGATGAAACTAAATTTTGTGAATTAGATGTGGGGAAGTTGCGGTTTAGATTAGCAGCTGATTTGTCACTAAATCTGTGTCTCGGGAGTACTGAACATGCTCCGGTACTTTACGTTTTCGGTTAGTGCTCGCAGTCTGTGCAGTGTGTTTGCGTCGCATTCTCACGCTACCGGGCGTAAGAACTGCTTTCCACCATCGCAACGTCTTACGAGTGGGGTTGGTGGCAATTCATAGCACTGCATGAACCGCAATTCACCAAATTTTGCTCACTCGGCCGAAATGCTCTTGGAGCAATGCTTGCTGCAACTCTAGTGCGTTTTGGAGTTTTTTGAGAGTGCTGGGAAGTAAGGGGTAAACTGCTGGCGGTTACATGCTTGACGAGCGAGTTCCTTATTTGGCGTTTTTCCGCGAAACTGCTGCCAATCCGTCCGAAGGTCCGCGGATTAGTACGGGTACCACTGTTATCGGATTGGCTCTTACATCGTCCAACTTCGGTCCTGCGAACAAGGAATGTGCTCTGACGGGGCCCTTCCTTGTGGAGGGTATAAGGTTGAGCATTGCCGCATGGCTCAGCTGGAAAAGGTGCCTCTTTTGCCGACTTGCTAAAGGCAGCAGTTGTGTGTGAGAGAGGTATATGCACTTTAGTTTACGGTCCAGCTGTGTAGCTGACAACCTTTTCGGCTGCTTTAACCAGCACTGCATTGCCCCTGGCCAAGCGCTACTCCAGAAAGGCATGTTTGATTCTTGAATACGAGCACGTGAAAGTTTTGGCGGAAAAATTGCTGGCTCGGGAATGAAAAGCTGGAAAGTCAAAATGTTAAGGAATGTTCCCCGTCCAAACATATGTTAAAGATTTCAAATTTAGCTCTTTCCCTCGCCCCCCCCCCTTCCCCAACACATGTGTGGTCCTAACGTGCGGGACGTAAAAATTTTGGCCGCAAAAATGCTTCTTGATCAGCTGGGTCATTTTCAGTGAACAACCCGTTCAACTGAAATTGCTCATTTTTCTTTATGCAAAATCTACGATGATTTACACTAATGAGTACATAAACTAACTAAATATATGCAATAACTATTCATACAGTTTACGACCCAACTGCTTCAAGCTTAGTGCAAAAATGCATGATCACATTGGCAAGCCTGGTGCGTTCCAGCCTGGGTTTTTCTAGTGATTGCTTTCTGGGCGAAATGGAAGTGACGGTGGAGCGACTTTGCTTTGATCCGGACGCTCTCTGGGAAGAATTTCAGCAAAATGGGCGCCTGTGCTATTCGGTTCCTGCGAAGAGGTGCATTATGTTTTTCTGGCATAGCTAGTCGAAATGCTGTTCTCATGCAGAACATAAATGACCAGTGGATTGTGGAGGCCAGAGCTGGCTGTGACTTTGACCGTTGAGGTTGGAAGAGGCCAAATTTTGACCGCATAGTCACAGTTGGCTCTGATTTTGACCTCCGTCTCTGCTTGCTCCGTGCGGACCACAAGTTATCGTAAATTTAATTACGGAGGTTGCAAGTGGTTGTGGCTTTTTATAATAAAATAAATAAAATGAAATAAGATGTTTCTGTGTTAAAAGAACTAATAAAATGTTGAAAATATAGTCCGACTGATTGTCCACTTCAAGGTCCACAATTACTTTTGCAAACTGTGAATGGAGGTTGAACCTCAGCAGAGAGCTGGTATTAACAGCAGTGCTAGCATGCCACATGTTGCTAGTGTAATCCTTGAAATGGCCTTCTATTACACATAGATTAATCCTGAAATGACTGCTTACTCCTTATAGTTAGTGTTCGTTCCAAGAACAGTAAAATATAACCGAAATGAACCAAACTCAGGAGTACTGTAGTATTCTCGGAATACTGCTAATTTGTCGTTGTAACAAAAAATTTTGCACATAAGCAAAGTCCACGGGGAAGGATCTGAAGTTTCCTGGAATTTCTGTTTTGCTCTGCTGCCTCTCTTCCTACAGAATCTCCCTCTCTTCAGACTGGATGAGCCAGTCAGCAGCACAGCGTTACGGTTCGTCTGCATAGCGGATACGCATGGAAGGCTTGGCGATATTGTTGAACGCATCCCAGGTGGCGATGTGCTCATTCACGCCGGTGACATGACGAATTTTGGTGAAAAGGAGGAACTTAACAAATTTAATGATACCATCGGTTCGTTATCTTGCCGGTCGGTTTTGTCTATGGTAATTTTTTCACAGTTTTCTCTCGAAAGTCTTGCGGGAGAATCACTGAAATCTAATTCAGCAAGCAGAAGATCCAGAAAGCCGGAATTTTAAGGGACTGTTCCCTCTCAACGTAACACCAAAAGATTTAAAATTTAGCCTCTTAATGTGCGCGAGTCTCACGTACAAACGTGTGAAAGTTCTGATATGAAATTTATTACTTGTGAACCAGAAAAGCTAGAAAGCTGATTTCCTAAGGGAATGTCCCTGCCCACGAACAAAAATTTTCATCATGGTACACCTGGGTTCAATGAACTAATAAATTTTCGGCAGTCATAAGTATTGCAAGTTTGGATTTCGTGCAACTGCATGATGCAGAACTACTGCTCCAGCCAACGCCGGACCGCGTGTTAGACTGGAAAGCGACAGCCATTCAAGTTATTGGCGATCTGACTACTTCATCCTTTTGTTTTTTCACCCGATAAATATTATTTCAGGAAAGTTGCCTCACAAGCACAAAATTGTTATTGCGGGTAATCATGATCTTGGCTTTGAAGATGGCGAAGATGAAAGTCGGCGTGATCTCCCCTATAGGGGTCATGGCACCGCACGCGGCTATAAGTTATTAACTAATTGTACATATCTTCAGGACTGCGGAGTGAAGGTGAGGATATTTTCTCTCTAGTTTTGTGAGTTGAAGTCCAGTGGGACACGAGTATTTACTTAAATCATTGATCAATTTTTATTGTTTGTTAAGATCTATTCAGAGTTAGTTTATACGCCGCCATAAAATATTACGAAAAATAGAATAACGCAAGAAGGGTTATGGGGAAAAGCTCCGAGCCGCTGCAACTTCGTCATGTTCTAGGAGTAACAATAGTTTTGCCAAATATTTCTGTCGGAAGAACTGCTGAGCTGTTGACCTAAAATTTTTATGTGACTGTACGTGGAAACTAAATTTGAAGTTGTGAGGTCCCTGCGTAGGCAGGAAACATCCTCCTGAAATTTCAGCCTTCGGTTTTGGAACATTCCTCTGAAATTACAGCTTCCTAGCTCTTGTGGTTCCGGAGTTGAAGGAGAGGGACAAAACGCACTCGAACAAACAAACAGAGCGTTATAAAAAAACACATAATAAAATGAAATCGACTGAGATGCAAGTATAGCCATTTTGTTAGTGAGGTATAAAAATAAATTGAGCGAGGTATCACAGCGATTTGTTTAAGCACGGGATAAGTTCATGCATGAGTTTGGTTCACGGTGGCTGTTGCTATCCATGTTTGTATGTTATAGATATGTGGGATCCACGTATATGGCTCCTCATGGCATCCACTGCCTGGATATTCTTTTTCTCGTAATCGTGGCAAGGATCTTTTGGAAAAATGGAATCGGATACCGG